ACCAATCAGAAAGGGAGACCTTACTTCCCGCGCTAGTATTCAACACTTATAAAATGTTGGAGTTTTTTTATGGGACAACTAAACTATGTAATTCTAAAGTTATATTGATTCTTCTCTCCTACAGATTTTTGATGGTCGAAATAGGGAAGCTCAACGTCTTGGAAAAGTCTGTGGTGTGCAGCAATTTTCTTCTTTCACAGCTACTCTAAATGCCATGTTTGTGTGGTTTCACTCTGACTCATCTATACATCTCCAAGGCTTTTGAGATTGGTTCACTGAAGGCAAGTTTTTCAGTGATATAAAATCCCTGCTAGACCAATATCCTTGGCCAAAAAAGCCATTTAAGTATTGAGGTTTTGGATTAATTTAGGCCAATAACAACAGTGTTGTTGTTTTTTTGTGTTTTTTTTTTTTTGCTGAAACTTTCAAATGCAATAGGACATAACTCCGTGAAGAAAAGAGATGAAGTATAATTTGGTCAACTGCACATTTTTAAAAGATGTAAATGAAAACCAGTAGCGGAACTTTTGAGTAGTTTGGAGAACCAGTAAATACCAACTCTGGTGGGACTGGCCCCACGCCCATCTATTCTCTGCCTCCTGAGTTCCAGCTGATTGGGAGGAAATGGGGATTTTGCAGTAACCTTCCCCTGGAATGGGGAAGGAATGGAGATTTTACAGTATCCTTTCCCTGCGACGCCCACCAAGACACACCCACCAAACCATGCCATTCCCACCACCTGTTCTGGCCTACAGTACCAGTAGTAAAAAAATTTGAATCCCACCACTGGCTTGGTATAATGGTCAGAGTAGAATCCAGGAGATGATGACTTCTAGACCCACCTTAGACACAAAACCAGTAAATGACCTTGGACTGGTCACTTTCTCCCAGCTCTAAGACCAGTCACTTTCTCTCAGCTGCAGCTCTGGCAAGCTACTTCTGAAAAACTTTGCCAAGAAAACTGCAAGGCCTAGTCTGGGCAGTCATTAGGAATCAATACTGATTGTTATGCACTTGTGCATGCGTGCACGCACACACACACACACACACATCTCTAAGAAATCAATCCATTCCCTTCCTCTGAACCACTACAAATGTTGGCCTATCCATGTCAACTGACAACAACTCCCTGAGTCTCCATGCATTTATAGCAATTCTGGGGAATTCTGGAACTGGACACCCGCACATTGCACATTTCCAGGGCTGAGAAAGATTGCTCTAGGGAAGGGGTGTCAAACCCAGTGGGATGGATGTGTCACACGCTTGCCATGCCCACCCCCATTTTAGCAAAGGGGGAAAAAGTCATGATACATCACGTGACGACAATGTGACGATGCAAGTTTGACACCCGTTCTTTAGGGACTATCTGAAAAGAACAAGGAATGTTAAAAAAAGAAAAATAATGGGATATTTAATTGGTGCAGTTCAAAACATTTCATTGAAAACACTTTATTAACATCTATATAATTTTCCAGGAAACAAAATGTATTAGCTTAAAAAAGATCCTAAAAAGAATGTCTATTCAGAAACTTTCCATACAAAAATAAAAATCACACTTTATAGTATTTCAATTTTTATGTTAAATTTCATGCTCTAAACATTTATTTATATTGTTTTTAGTTTTTAAAACAAATGTTGAGGTAATTACATTAAAGTAGGCATCAGAAAAATTCTGCATAAATTCTGCATATACCTGTAAAATATATTTAAAAGCCTTGGGAAATATTTACAATTAAAAATATATATGAAGAAATTAATATGAAACACACACATATACATACATACATACATACATACATACATACATACATACATACATACATACATACATCCTCAAACTTTCCATTGTAAAGAATTGTAGGAATCAAATAGAAGCTGATTCTGTTAATGCTTTTAAAAAAAATAACTGCAGGGCTTATTCAAACCAGATTTCTCACACAATGCTATCAGGAGGTTGTTCATGTGAGGTAACTATATTCTTGTAGAGAGTTAACAATAGCAATCTGGCTTCAACCTGAGAGTCTACTGATCAGACAAGTTGAATATTCCCAAATGTGAATCCCAGAAAAGAGGCACGTTTAGTGTAGCTCTGCAGATATATAATTTGTATGTGTATGTTGGCGCTCAGCATACAGACTCCTTTAGTGCTTTTCCAACTATATATTGATTTTGTGACTCACTTTCTAGATACACATTTTATTCCGTGAAGTTTTAAGTAAAGAATGATGGATACTAGTAGATTTTTATCTATGTAATCAAGTTTCTTTTGGCAACACTATGCCCATTCATTAATTTTGAGATCTATACTATGACTCTTTAATTTCATTGCTGCTCAGCCCCTCTAATTACCCGTATTTACATATTTGTTATCACTCCAAAGTTTGTGGAAATATCTCAGAAGCTTCTTTAGTTGGTGGAGCCATTTCTTCTCCTCTGTATCTAGCAACATACCCAAATAATCAGAATTGTAGCTGGATTATTCAATCTCAAGAACCATATAAATTAATAAATTCATCTCTCCCTGCTGAGAAAGCAAAATGACTAATATCCTCTCCTCTTCTGTAAAAACAATGCAGAATTCCTCCTTTTCTTATCTGCAGGAAATCCTGCATCCTGTTAGATGGAAAATATCGGTAATGCTTATCTCTTAATCTCTTTTTATGGGGATTGAATGTGAAAATATTTAACAATCTGGTGTGAAATGAGATAAAGTGTTTAGTGTACAGTCTTGATTTTTCAGCATTAAACACCATGGGAATTCTATAGGTCAGTTTGCTACACAAGGGAAACCATTGTACAAGCTAGTCCTGCAGGCATAAGAAACATGGACATGCAAACTTACTTACATTTACAATTGAGGTAGTCCTCAATTTATGATCTCAATTTATGACAGACCACCGAAAAGGTGTTTAGGACATGGTTTCAAACTTATAAATGCTGCAGTGCCACTGCCATTGTTCATCCTTACAACCAACCAAAGGGACTCCCCCATACATTCCGCCAGGTTCTTGCAGGCCTTGGCTTGCTCCAAAGCCATTTGGTTCTGTTGATCAGCTTTAAGATCCCTTGCCTGGCTGAATTGGGAGAGAATAAATTTAGGTAATCCCAAGGGACAGGTGGAACCCTTTGGAGTCTATTGGATAGCTGATGTAAAGTAGGCCTCAGCCTATAGGCTGTAACTGCCCTCTGTGTAGTGGTTGCTTCTGCTGACCAGTTTGCATGGCTGAATAACCAGCTAGGGATTAGGATGAGGTCTAAGCAACTCCAAGGATCAGGAAACAGAGTATCAAGTGCCTCAAAGGTGGGGAAGGCCTTGGGAAGCACTCCATGTCCCACTTAAAAACCAGCACATTTGTTTAATAATTGCATTAGTATGAACAGGATAATGGCTATTTGCAATGCACAACCATCGTAGTCATAAGTCGAGGGCCACCTATATATATATGGTCTTTTAATTTTAGTTTCCCATAAATGAAGTTAATTCTAGTCATACCTAGTCTAAGAGACTGGCTAGGATCATGAAGTATGCTAAGTCAGAGGTCCCCAAAATATATCAATGTTTATGCAGTGCTATAATGTAGGTTAATTTAGGTTAACTACCTATATAGTGACACTAACACCTTTTTTGGAGCTTAGACATTATGATAAAGGTACTGCTCCTCTTATTGAACATAGGATGAACAATTTCTTAGCCCATACTGAAATTTGTAGTTTGAAAACCTGCACATCATAATTACAAGACCTTAACTTTGCATATATTTAATGGAGAAGGATTCATATTTCTTATAGAGCACAATATTAAATTCTTAAATTCAACTATTTCTTGGAATAGTTGACTGGCTGACCCTGTTTTTTAATTGTAATACAACTTGCTTAGGTATCCAAATCATAATTAGGTATGACATTGGAACATTATACAATGTGACAAGAAGGCTTGCATATCCATTGTTTCCCTTTTACCTAGTGACCATTATTCTCCATGTTATAATAGTTGTTGTTGCTGAAAGCAAATAATAATTTCAGCTTACCCAAAACTAGAGGAAATTTCTGGTTTTCAAACCCGGATGGTGATTTTGAATGAAACATCAGTTTGTGGTATGCACAAACTGATGGTGGTGGGGTTCAATTTTTTTTACTACCGGCTCTGTGGGCATGGCTTGGTGGGTGTGGCAGGGGAAGGATACTGCAAAATCCCCATTCCCTCCTGATCAGTTGGGACTCGGGAGATAAAGAATACATGGGGGTGGCCAGTCAGAGGTGTTATTTACCAGTTCTCTGAACTACCTCCAAGAATTGCAATAATCTCCTTTCTCCCCTAATCTTAACCATAAATGCTCCTCTCATTTCTTTCGCATTTAGTTATATATTCCCTAAGATCAGAGGTGGTATTCAGCAGGTTCTGACCAGTTCTGGAGAACCGGTAGCAGAAATTTTTGAGTAGTTCGGAGAACCGGTAAATACCACCTATGACTGGTCCTGCCCCCATCTATTCTCTGCCTCCGAGTTCCAGCTGATCAGAAGGAAATGGGAATTTTGCAGTAAACTTCCTCTGGAGTTGGAATGAATGGAGATTTTATAGTATCCTTTCCCTGTAGTGGGGTGGTAATGGAGATTTTACAGTATCCTTCCTCTGCTATGCCCATCAAGACACGCCTACCAAGCCACACTATGCCCACCAAGCCACACCCACAGAACCAGTAGTAAAAAAATTTGAATCCCACCACTGCTGCATCCTAATCACTGACCACCACAGCTCTTTTAAGTAGAAGAGCAGTAAAAGTTATTAAATTTGTTTACACTTATTGTGCAAAGGTTCAATGTTATTTTCTTATATATTTCTTTTCTTTTTATTATTTTATTTTATTATTATTATTCCTTTGTTTTTATGCTTTATTTTTTTTCTCTTTTTTCCTTTCTTATTCTTTTTCCTGTACTTTTTCTCTAAGTTTAGTTTGTAGTAGTTTTTACTATTGTAATTAAAATTCTTAATAAAAATTATATTTAAAAAGATCAAGAACACATTATAAATGACATATCACATACTGCTTGACTGATATCTTAGTTTTCAGAGTATACCCTTCTGAAAGAGTCTTATGCTTAAATATTGTCTGGTATTGCTATTTTTCCTCTGAAAGTTAAAAAAAAATCAGTGTTAGAGGAATTTTAGATACATTTCACCAAACCTTAATTAAGTAAATTACTCACTTTTTAAATTCTAGAGCTATAGGCAACAAATCAGATACTTATTTAACTGGCTGAATTCACTTTCCCACTAATTCTATGTTGAATGATACAGGGATTAAAAACTATTTTTGTTGGATATAAAATTGTTTATGACAGCTTAGAATTCATATCAGACATATTTAAAAGAGAAAAAAACATATATGGTTTATTCAGTCAACATAAATATTCTTGGAGGATTTTTTTTATTAAAATATAGGAATATTACTTTATTTAAAATTTAGTAGCTATTGATGGATAATTACATGGTTTTAAAGTAGATCATTTCCTGCTAAATAAGGATTTCAAAGTTGTTATTTATAATGCTAACATATGATTTACATAAATGGAAGCTATAGACCAATTTCTTAAAGATTTGCCTAACAACTGATTAGCTGCATGGAATAAGATGCTTGAACTAGATATGACTTCGGTCTGATCCTCAGCAGATCCTCATTCCTGATTAATCTGTTCTATCCAAATTATACTGATAGATCATATCAAGGATGAAAGTTCAGTTCAGTAATCTCTAAAATGCAATACCCTTCCTCATATTCGTACCATTCTTTTTCAACAGTTAACCACATTACATTATCATTCGCTGATTGTGACATTGAAAATGATATACATAGCTGCAGCACTGATTATGTAGAAATTTGGGAAGGGGATAATTCCAATGTTCCTTTTCAAGGCATGAGAAATGTACAGTACTGATTGCCTATATATTTTAAACAGAGATTCTGTTTGTTCAGAACAGAACTTGTTAAGCGATAATGACACTTTAAAACCAGGTGGGGAACAATGGTCCCTTTATGACTTGTAGACGTCAACTCTCAGAATTCCTGAGCCAGCCATGCTGTATATATTAATCATAGTTCATTTTGAAGACGTAGTGGAAAAATTATGGACATGTTTCAAGGTGTTCTGCATTGTACTTCTGTTTGATGCAACAGTACTAAACTGGTAAAAGGTGTGATCTGGACAAATGAGATTTGTGAGTGATGCGGGTGATCTATAAAGATGATATAAATAAATAAATAACAAACTCTGAAACTTACTATGTACTTCTAAGATGTGAGGGGAAAAAAACTTGTTCCTTACAACTAGGATTTCCTGTTATAGGCCATATGTTCAAACAATATTTGCTAAAGTGAATTCCATGCTTTACTAGATTCACAGCATCTATCCCACTGGGGTTGTTTTCTCCATTTCCATATTGTACTTTGTCTCATCTCCTGTTTTCCCTGTACAGCTTGGGGGGGGGGGGTACCTTCCATATGGGGAGAGGAGCCTTCAATAGCCCAAGTTTTCCTGAATCATACCCATTGAACACTGAATGTGTCTGGAATCTTCTGAGCTCCCTTGGCAACTGGCTCCAGCTGTCTTTCATGTAAATCAATTGTTCAAAGAGTTATTGTTTAATCTTTTAATGGAGCAGCAGGAAGGAAATGCTGGGTTTAGAAGAATGTAATTACTGGCATGTAAAACAGTACCCACAACTTGGAAAGTGAATACAATCACAGCCAGAAAGGGCTTGCTTTATTTATTTATTTTCCTATTGCTTATAATCCTGGTCAGCTTTCAGGCAACTAAAATCTATGCTTATAGATACTATCCCAATTTTGCATCTATAACTTTTACAAAATTACAACTGCAGCGGTTGTACATAGGTCCCTCTTTTTTTCTGCTGCTATTGTAAGTTTGAATTATCATTAAATGAATGTTGTAAGGACTGCCTGTATAAAATGTCATATTTGTTGAAGATAGAAGAAAATCTGAGAATACAAATACTGTTCACATTAATTCTAGAAAAAGTATTCCAGTTTTACTTTATTTAAAACTGGCTGCCATACTGAAAAATACAATATTATTTCAATACAGAAATTCCAGAGTTTACTTAGTACCAGTTGAGTTATATTAAACTATGATATATATTTTGGGTTTTTGCTTTCATTGCCCACATGTCAGCCTTGATTTCTGATGATTTCAAGGACAAAGGCCTATTTCAAGATCTATTTTCCATAAGGTGACCAGATTTT